CCTAGTGTTTCTGTGAGATGTACGGGAAGAGGCTTGCTGGGCCAGAGAGCGTGCAAAACCTAGATCATTTCTGCCCATATAGGTATCTCCAGGCTGCTTCTCTACACCTGCCCAGTCTCTTCCATTTCTGCTGAGAGAGGGAAGTGGTGCCCCATGTGGAATGGGCATGGATCTGATCATTTGTGAGACTCAGCACCTGTCAGGATGTCTGGTGGCTGTGGATTCACATTGCTATTGGGGATGACCTCTTGTGTATCCTTCTGCCTGTTTCCTTCCACAGTGTGTTATGTGAATCTCCTAATTTGAAATCATCTGCAACTCATTCGAACTTTGTAAAGCCTCACGCTGCCCAAACACACTTGCCTGCTGTCTGGACAGAACAGTCAGTATTCACCAAGTGAGATGCTAACCAGCTAGTTGTTCCAACACCACTGGATTGGGTAACCCTCCACTTTTGCATTGATTCAGGATGCCTCCTTTATCACCCATTATCTTGTAAACAATAGGGCCTGTTGCAGGTTTACTGAATCTGTGCCATTGATCTGTTTATTCTTATAGCGGAACCACAAGGTTTGAACGATCGTAATAATAGAATCTTGTTTAATATCAGAAAGCATTTCCCCCCCCCACACACACACCCCCACACACACACCCTCAGTTTATTTTTCCTAATTTTTGACTTCTTCTGCTGATCTTGTTAGTTTTTCCAGATAAAGTTTGGAATCATTTGCCATTTTGCCTTTAAAAAAACCCAGCAGAGTTTTGATCGAACCGTCCTGTATGATAACTCATTTAGGATCTACCCACCTCCTCCCCTGCTGCCCCTCATCTTTCCCGCTGCTCAGGTGATTCTGTCCCTGTGTCAAACGGATGGCAGGCATTCCCCAAGGGCAGTGTCCATTTCTGTGGCCCTGAGGGCCCTTCCCCATCCTAGCACTGGGTCACCAGGGGGGCAGGAGGTGCTGTGGGAAGAACAGCACTGCTCCCTAAGAGTTACAAAGGGCACTTGGTTTCTTCCTACAAATGGGCATCAAAGCCAGGCCTGGAAGTGTCCCTGTGCAAGGCAGGGAGGAAGGGGCTGGGCAAGTCGAGCTAAGTCCATGGCCCACCAGCCCCACCGGGGTGCAAACAGAGGGAAGAAGGCCGACCCACCCGGCCACCCTGGCACCAGGCCCTGGGGAATCATCAAGGCCACCCTGACCCACTCAAGACAGTCACTTGCAGCTCCTGGCCTGCGTGTCTGGCCATACCTGGGCACTTTGTGGCCACAAAATTCAAACTGTTTACCATACACAGTGACTCGAGGAGGCAGGAGTCACTGTTAGAAGTGAACTGTTTTATGAAGGAGGGAAGAGAAGCTGTAAACTGTAGCCCCTGAGCCTCGGTTCTTTGCTCTAAAGTGACTTGCTGGGACTTGAATCTGAGGCTCTCACCCCCATCTCTACTCAACACCACCCCCCAGCCTCCCCCAGCTCTGGCTGCTGCCTCCTTGTGAGAAACAGCCCCTGCAATTCAGATGCGGTGGCTCACGCCTGTAATCCCAGCACTTTAGGAGGCCACGGCAGGCGGTTCACTTGAGCCCAGGAGTTCGAGACTAGCTGGGGCAATGTAGCAAGATCCTGTCTCTACCAAAAAAAAAAATTCTTTTTTAAATTAACTGGGCCTGGTGGTACATACCTATAGTCTTAGCTGTGTGGGAGGATGGCTTGAGCCCAGAAATTTGAGGCTGCAGTGAGCTACGATAGCACCTCTGCGCTCCAGCCCGGGTGACAGAGTGAGACCCTGTCTCCAAAAAGGAAGAAAGAAAAAAGAAACAGCTCGTGCTTTCCGAGAGTTTCCTGGTAGTGAGTAGAGAGAGCTCGTCATAGTAGCAAGAGTCTCTGTGTGTGTTATTCCCCCCACCCAACACCAAGAACAAACAAGGCTGATGAACATTTACGGGACAGTGAATGGATCTAGTCTACAGATGACTGGGGAGAGCCTAACACCAGCCACTGGGGGCATCGGGGACACAAGAGTGACCAGACACAGCCCCTGCTCTCTTGCAGCTGACGTCACGGGACGAGGGGATCCTCTCCGCTTGTTTCTGCCGGCTGGCCACCTCCCAGCACTCATGAGAGCGCCTGGCACTGTGTGCTCCAAAATGCTGGTTGACAGAAGGAAGGAAATAAGCCGGGGGCGCAACAGAGAAACAAGGAGGCCTCTTTTGATGGCTGTTCTGGATTATGGGTCTGGATTCTGGCCTTTGAGTCCTGAGCCAAGTTCTAGGTTCGGATATGGGGTTCTAGGTTTTGGGACCTAGATTCTAGGCCCAAGGCTGCATGTCCTTAATGCCAAGTTATGGGTTCTGAGCTCCAAGCTCTAGGTTGTAGATTTGGGTTTCCACATTCGGGGCCCCAGGTTGTGGGCTTTGTGTTCTGAGAACTCAATTCTGAGGTCTGGGCTCTGGGTCCCGGTCTTAGAGGTCTTTGTAAGTTCTGAGCTCTCAGCCCCAAGCTGCCGATTCTGGGTTGAAGGGTCCAAGCTCTGGGCTGTATGTTCTGGGCTCTGGTTCCTGAGTTCTGGGGCCTAGAGCTATCGTTCCTGGTTTGGGGATCTAGGCTGCAGGTTCTCAACTCTAAACTCTGGAGTCCAGGGCTGGCTCTGGGTTCTGGATGGACTCTGGGCCAAGCAAGTAGGATGGTTCGCCAGAAGCCAAGTAGAGTTATTATTTATGCTTCATGCCTGTAATGTAAGCTCCTTGAGGACAGATTCTTGTTTGTTTTATTCCCTGCTGTAGCCCCATGCCTACAACCGTGCATGGCATACAGGAGATGTTCAACAGGATGTGCACACGTGAACACCCCATCGCAGAAACACACAATCCTGCTGTCACGATCTAGGGGCATAGGAGAGAGAACCAACCCTGCCCCCACTGTGGCAACAACTGGCAAGAAGAAAGGAGGCCTCCTGCCCTGGAGTTGTAGGGGGTGGAGGCCAGGGGGGCCCAGGGCCACTCTGCATCAGGTAGGAAGGAAGCACGTGCCTACCCTGCCAAACCCCGGGCTGGCTCCTGTCTGTACTCAGTGCCAACTTCACAGGGAAAGACAGGAGGGGGTACTGGTGGCACACCAGGGCAGAGTCTGGAGGTCAGAGTCTATCCTGATGGACTGCAGCAGCTGGGACAAGGTGCTGACCGTTCCAGTGCTTTGGCCCACCCAGCTCTAAGCGAGGAAGGTGTCAGCAGCCTGGTATTGGAAAAAATTAAAGGAAAATCTCCTGGACCAGGTGCACAGCAGGGCTGTCAAGAAACAACGATGGTGGCAATCAGAAATACCTGTCCTCAGGGCCCCTGGTGAATAAAGATCCTGTTGGTCAAAGATGATGACAACTAAGGTGAAGAGAAGCCATGGCTGACCAGGGATGTACAATCAGAGTGACTTGTCATTAGGGATGGTGGAGTCAACCAGAGAAGATGTCGGTCAAACACAACCTGGTCAGGGAGGGGTGTGTAACACACTGGCCATCAGGAGCCAGTGTTCAGGGGTCTTGGTAACCAGAATTATCATTGATCAAATATGTCATCAATCATTGATCAGGGCCATGGGTGGCTTCGGCTGTGAGTAACTGGGAGCATTAGCGGGGAAAGCATTGGGTGTCCATGTCGTTGGTGGCCAAAGATACACGAGATATTAGTGACCAGATTCAATGACTGGAGACATGGGGTCCAGAGATCTTGGTGAAGAGAACCAAATGCAGACCATTAGGGATCAAGGGCACTGGTGAGCAGAGGCATCAATGATTAGAGAATTTGGTGATCAGAGACATTGGTGACTGGGTATTCTGATGACCAGTGATATTGATGATCAGGGAGGTCAGTGATCAGAGGTATAAGGGACTTTGGAAAATGGGGGCATTGGTCAGCAGAGACTTTGAAGAAGATTCAGCAATCACTGATGTTGGGCATCAGAGACATTGGTGATAAGAGATCTTGATGATCAGTGTTGAGCATTCAGGGGTATTGGGAACCAGAAACACTAGTGACTACATTGATAGGAAATTTGATGGGGAGAGGATCCTATGATCAGGGACATTGGTTGTCAGGCACATCGCTGGTTAGAAATAATGGTGATCAGAAACAACTGACCAAGGACATTGTTAAAGAAACACTGGTGATAAGAAACAGTGTGATCAGAGATACTGGAGATCACATGTGAGTGATTGATCTATCACTAGAAAAAAACACTGATCAATTACATTGGTGGTCATACTTATTGATGGCCTAGAACATTAGTGACAAAGCACATTGACGATCAACACATTGGTGAGAAGAGACACTATGATCAGGCATACTACTGGTGAGCAAAGACAGTCACTGGAGACATTCGTGATCACATTTTGTGGGTGTCAGTGATCAAACTCATGGTTGAGCAGAGGCATTGATGAAATATTGGTGATCAGTTGTTAGTCATCAGGTATCTCTGATGGCAGGCTCTCATGATCAGACATGTCATTGATCTGGAATATCAGTCCTGGTGCCTATCATTGATGACCAACATCACTGATCAAAGATGACAGCAATCAATGACATCAGTGATCACAGACACTGCTGGTCAAGTCAGTCAATGAACAGGAATATTGATGACCAAATATCTCAGAAACCAGAGCTGAGAGGAAGCTCAGCACCTGGAAGGAAGCAAATGGAGATGGGGTTTGTAGGAGCCTCGCTGAGCCCTCAGGGGTGGACCACAGGCTGGAGAAACCACAGCCTCCCTGTGCCTCCCCAGTATCCTCCCATTCACTAGGACCCCTGGTGCAGTGACAGGAAATCCAGATGGGAGCAATTCAGGGGAGGAGCATCAGGACGTCAGTGGCAAAATCAGACCCAGGCCCAACAGGGCCCCATCCTGGATTCCAGGGGCCTTCCCGTCGCAGCCACCCCGCCGACAAGAGCAATGCAATCTGGCTGCCCAAATTCACACCCGGGACTCGGCACCCTGGGAGCCCACAAGACAGGCCAGGGGCATTCACAAAAAGTATTTTATTATTCTTAACAGTACTCGCTTTAAAGGAATAAGAGGATAGCATACATTTTTTACAGACAATATATAAATGTTGTACATAATTAACAATAACTTAGTTCACTAATCCAAAATAAAACAAGCCAAATAAAACATAAAAACAGAAAATACTGCCGATTCTTTTTCTTATGCGGACACTAGTACAGAATAAGTTACTTCTGGCCTTGGTGCTCCCCGCAGCGACTGCCCATCCATATTGCACTTGGTCACTACATCAGCACAATCCTCCTCCTGGGCCAGGGGCCCCTCGCAGGCCATCACACCCCGCCATCACCGCATACAGAATCTAAGCTCGGGACACATTTATATACAGCTGTACCTTGGGAAGGATCCAGACAGCCACAGCAAAGCTGGACCTGGGACCCCAGCAGGGACACAGCCTCTCCCTGGGTCCTGGTCCTGACCTACCCCCGACTCCTGCCTTCACCCCCTGCCAGGCCAGCAAATGCCAACCAGCCCCCGGAAACCAAGGGCAGTAAAGGCCCCTCCCCCATTCCCAGCTTTCATACTAGGGCTGTGGAATCCCAGCTCTTTTCCAAAAACAATTGCAAATCTCCAACCTTGTGTGTAGGGTTTACTCCTTTCATAGCAGGGCTTCTGTGGCTATGTACAATCGACTGGACCCAAAAAGAGTTTAAAAATAAAACAATTAACTCATCAGCGAGTTAAGCTTATGCATTTTTTTTTAATATTTTTTCTTTTGTCTCAGAGTAGGAGGGGAGGGGGTTGAAGGGTTAGCAGAAAAAGGATGTATTTACAGGGTCCACCTGACAAACAAGACGGGCTGTGGCTTGCGCTAAGGGGACACAGTTACACCAGCTTCGGCCTCAAAGCCAAGGGAGCGATCTGGGAGACGTTTCCCCTTTCAAGAAAATGTTGTTTCCTTCCTGTGACCCAGCCCTGGCCTGGGAATCTGTGCAGGACCGCCCGTGATTGTCTCTGCCCTCCAGGGCCTGGCCCGTCAAAGCAGGCACCAGCTCACCCTCCCGGGCCCGTGGCCCTTCTGGCTTTGGCTCAGCCCAGCCTGGAGTTCGGCTGTTTCTGAGAGGGAAGCCAGAGGAGAAGGGGGTACAGGCTGAGGTCCCCACAAATCTGCCCCCCAGAGCCCCGGCAAGTGGACCCGCCAAGTCCCGAGGAAGAACCAGAGGACTTGGGACAGCTCAGACCACCAAGTCTCCAAGTCCTTGTTAGAAACAAGAGCAAAATAAATTATTTTTGCCTAATCCTTTTTCCTTCTAAAAATGGTTGCCTTCGTCTGTCCCGTCCCCTCCTTTTCTCTCCATAAAGTTGTCCTTGTTGTTCTCCAAACAACTGTCCATGCAGGAAACCCCACCTGGGCAGCGGCCGGGTGCAGAGGCAGTCTCTCAGCGGTGGGGAACATTCACAGTAACTGCTGGCAGGCTGCTGGGCACCCTCCAGGGGAAGGGGTGCTGGACCGAGCCAGGCTGGCAGGAGTGGTGTCGGTCTTCGGGAAATGCTGGGCAGCTAAGGGTTTGGTCCACTCATCCTGGGAGTGCCCAGTCCTCGACGTCCATCTGTTCTCTAGCCCATAGCGGTCACCATGCTGGATGGGTGGGGGTGGCCGAAGGAGAGGCTCGAGGAGGGGTGTATGGGCGTCGGAGTGGGCAGGATGTGTCCGGAGTGGCTGAAGGGCGGGAGGTGGCCCACAGGCGCCATGTGTCCAGCCAGGGCAGCTGCACTGAAGGGGGATGACTTCTCCTGCATGCACTTTGACAGCTCCTCAAAGCACTCCGCCCCTTTCTTGCTCTTCTTGGACTTGTTGGACATCTTCCGGTTCCGAGTCTGGATCCCTTCCTTCTTCATGGTCAGTGGCCTGTTAACCTAGAGGCAACCACCAGCTTTCAGAGGGCCAATTCTTTCCTCCAGCAACATGTCCCACCCCTGCCACAGCGTGGACCAGAGGCAGGTCAAGCTGAGGGTCCCAGGAAGCCAGGAATTGTGCCCGACCTTCACAGTCCCATCACCAGATGGCTACAATTCCAGGAAGGGCAGGTTCTGGTGTATGGGGTTGATCCACACCCTCCCTGGCTCTGCCCACCGCATACCAGCACTGCCCAGCCAACTGAAGTCCTCCCCTCCACCCTGACCTTTTTTAAGTAGAAAAACCACTTCCTTACCCCCCGAGACCCTGTCCTAGCCAGCTCCATCTCCTGAACAGAGGCAAGGCGCCCCCTCTTACGGGAAGCCCTTCTGGCGCTCGCTCAGGGCAGCGGCTTCCCAAGCCAAGCCAAGCTGGATATTGTGGCTGGGGCCTCTTGCCTGGCAGCACAAAGCGCAGAGGTCCCCGGGGAGGGGTGGGGCGGCCGGGGCGGGGCACACTCACATTGTGCAGCTTGTAGTAGAGGCCACAGGCGTTGCAGACAGGGTCCCCGTTGGCGTTTCGGCGCCATAAGGTGGTGGTTGTCGTCTGACAATTTGCACAACAGGTGCCGGCTCTTCTGGCGGCCGACTGGGAGGGCAAGGTAGCGTCAGCAGGCTGGGCTCCCACGCCCACCTCGACCTCCCTCCCTGACCCTCGCTCCAGCCCCAGTCCCCCTCCACTCAGTCAAGGAGGGCTAAATCTCACAGGGGAATCAAAGCATCTCAGAACCATGGAATTTCAGAATTTGAGAATGAAATAAGTCAAGACTCACAGAACTTTGGAATAAAGAACTCTCAGAAGCCTGATGATGCAATGGGATTGCAAGAGCTAGAGGGCAGCATTAGCTACCTCCCCCAACTACCCTGCACTCTAACTCCATAAATGGGGAAACTGAGGCCCTGAGAAGGGCCTCTCTAGTAGCACAGGCATCCTGAGGCCGAGCTGGCTTGGTCCCCCTCGAGCCCCTGGATCTGGGGCTGATTCTGTGTCTCCTCTAGCGCAACTCTGCTCAAAATCCATAATCCTGGGTGAGCCAGTGTAGCTGAGGCCAGCACAGGTTTACAGAGTGCAGAGCTGCACCGTCTCACACTGTAGCAGCTGGCCACAGGGAGCCATTTAAATAAGATCTAACTACAAATTAACAGAATTAAAAATCCAGTTCCCTCAATTGCACTAACCACATTTCAAGTGATCAATATTCACATGTGGCCAGGGGCCACCACAGTGGGCAGTGCAGACACAGAACTTTTCCATCTCTTCAGCTGACCCGAATGCTGATCCCCATCTATGCAGCCACCCATACCCCAACCCTTAGAGCTTTAACACCCCCAGCCCCTCTGAGTCCTAGTCCCTCAGGAAACGCCTGGCAGAGGCAGGGTCTGGAAATGAGCGCCTGGTCCCTGGAGAGAGAAGCCAGAGGGAGGCTTTACCCAAGAAAGCAGATCCCCTCTCCCGGTTCCACCAATGCCAACCCCACAGTGACAGAAGGGGTCCCCCAACACTTCCCAGAGAACCGCAGGCAGGAGTGCACCAGGTGGCGAGTGTTGGGAGCTGGAGGCTGAGGCCTGCAGAGCCTGGAACGGCCCCAGGCCCGAGCCTGGTCACAGAAGGGACAGAGGGACTGCAGCCGCGGGGGCAGGGAGGGGTGAGTAAGCAGCCTGAAGCTGGAATTCTGACTCAGGGGCCAACGCCGCGTCCTCCACCTCTACCCCCACCCGGGCCTCACCCCGCCCTCGCTCCAGGGGAAAAAAAAGGCCCCCAAAGCAGGGAACGATTTAAGCCTCATAAATCACTTCGCCCTGAAAAAATATATTTATTATTCTTAGCATTTTACGCATTATTTGCAGAGTGGAGGGTATTAGAAATTTCAAAACAGCCCAGCAAGAGGCAGGACTGAGCTGAGGAGACTCTAAAAACTCGCAGAGTCCGGAAACAGATACACGAAGTTTCCTTATCTTCAGGCTGCAGATGTCCGGATAGGAAACTCCGGCAGGAGATCCGAAAGGGCATTTTTTTAAAATCACTCAAATGAAAATACACAGTATAGGTGACTCCATGGAAAAATAATAAAGGGCAGGTTTTTTTAGTGGCCGGTGTGAGTTTGTGTTTTATTTAAATAAGCACGAGGAGCTTGTGAGTGGGGCTGTCGGGGAGGGCTGAGCCACAAGGAAAAATACTTCATGGCCCTATTTTTAAAAAAGAGCTAAGCAGAGGCCAGAGGACAGGAGTCCAGTCCGTGGACACTCAACTTTGGGGATCCCGGAGCACAGTGGCGTGGAGCGAGGGTACCCGGTGGGCTCCCTATACCCGAGGAGGAAATCTGGCCCAAAAGAATCTGGCCAGAAAGAGGGATGACCCAACTGACATCCCAGTGCTTTTCATGATAAAAGAGGATTTCAAGCGGCAAAGTGTCTGCATTTGAAGGAGTTTTTTCTCCTTAATTAACCGCCAGCTCCTGCCCAGAAGCCCCCTCCCAGCCACCTGTGCCCACTCCTACCAGTCTTCGCTTGGGCTTGATGAGTGGCCGGTTCTGCCCGTTCATTTTGTGGTAGAGGCCACAGGCATTGCACAGGTAGTGGCCGGTGCCGTCCCGCCGCCAGAGAGGGGTGGCTGTGGCCCCGCAGTTGACGCACTCCCGGCCTTCTGCAGGGGGACAGGGAGAGACACAGGGCCTGCTTAACCGGCAAGGTCTCTGGAGGGAACCCAGGGCACGCGAGCACCGGCCAAGCAGTGCCGGTGCCTCTCAGGCACGCGGTTGGCCTGGGCCTGGCTGAGACAGCCTGGGCAGGAAGAGGGACCCAGAGGGTTTCCTACATGGGATGGGGCCCAGGTCCAGAGTCCTTTAAGGCCAAATCCCCTGCTTCCAATCCTCCCGAGGAGGGATGGAAACGAAGGAGGAGGGGAGGACGGGCCCAGGGCCCCAGGCGTTCTGGAGCAACCAGGAGCTATTTACTGCAAACTTTGCTGAGGGTAGGGCGGTGGCAAGAGTCACCCAGCTCAACCTGGCTGGGCCCAGGAGGCTCTCTCCTTCCCGCTCCGGCGCGCCTCTTTCCCTCTCCTCTTTTGTCCCTCTCCTTTCTACCCAACTGTGTCCGCCCCACCCCGTCTTTCTGCTCTAAGTCCAGAATCATTTCCCTCTTTCTCCCCAACTTTTCTCCTCTTCCACCGAAGCCCTAGAATTTTTCTGAGACCTGGAAAAAATGGATCGAAGTTGTTGTTCTTTAAAATAAAATAAATAATAAGCTCTTTCTTTTTTAGATAAGTGGCCTCGGTTTTTTGTTTGTAATTTTTTTTTTCCAGTTAAAAGGCCATCTGGAATTCAAATAAAATGCAAAACAAACTTGGGAAAAAGGACCAAGAAAACGCAAGCTGACGGGCCTGAGCAGAACTAGGATCCTGAGCCGGGGCTCAGCGGGGGCTGGGACCAGCAGGGGCTGGGGTTGGGGACAAAGTTGAGCAGGATCGCTGCCTGGCATCGTGTTCCCCAGGAAGTTGTTCTTGATTTAGTTTAAACTAAATGAGCAGTACAGGCTGGCAAAAGAAGGTGGTTCTTGCACTCAGGAGTAACTGTTTTAAAAACTTTCCTGCTCTGTGGCTCAAAGGGACCAGGTAAAGAGACATGGACAGCAGGAACTCCACACTAGCCATCAGTTTCTGGGTTTATGCTCTGTGGCCAGATTCTTGGACAAACCCAGTTTGGCCAGCTGCGGGAAAAGGGGCGGGCGCACTGCAGCTTCATCCCCTCACTCCAGCCCTCAGGGAGGGAGAGGGAAGGGCCTGGCCAGGGCAGGGAGCAGGAGCAGGTCCTGGGGATTTTGCTTTGGGGGAAATCTCCCAAGGAGATGGGGGATCCATCGAAATCCCAAGATCAGACTGATTGAGTTGGAGACCCAGATTCCTTAAGGGTCTGGAACCTCCGGAATGCCTGAAACATGCACACACAACATGCACACAGACACACATACACACATGCACGCATGCTCCCAAACACATGCACATACAGACTCACTTCCCTCGCTTCACATGCTAAGTCCTGAGGTGGCTTGAATTTTCACTTAGGATTCAGGAAGGGGAAGGGGGAATTCCCATTCTGTGTTCTGGTCAAGCAGTGACCAACCCTGGGTCAAGGAACTGAACTTTGGGGGTCCACCGGAAACACTTAAGAAAATGGCAAAAGTTTTAGAGTCTCCTCTCCCCGACCCAGGGGTCTCAAACATCTATTGGGGACTATTAGAGAGGACATCACCCATTCCCAGATCTGGGAAACCGACATTGCCCCTCTCCCAAGTCACAGCCCTCCACCACAAAAACGCAAATGCTCCCCTCTTCCACGAAAGTCCCCAGCACCTGCCTTTACCTGAACAGGAACGCGCCTTGCTGCGCTGCTTAGGGGTGAAGCTGGAGGCCGGTCCCCCCAGGAAGCCCCCGGGGTGGAAGAGTCCGCTGCTGTAGTCGTGGGCCGCCGCCGGCACATAAGAGGGGTAGGTGGGGATGGGGTGGTGTGTAGCAGGCTGGGTGCCCATAGTGGCTAGGCCTGGGCGCAGGGGACTGCCACTTTCCATCTTCATGCTCTCCGTCAGTGACACCTGGTACTTGACGCCGTCCTTGTCCTCTCCTCGGGCTGCGCTACCCCCCGCGGAAGATGAGCCTGGAGAAGCAGCCCCCGTGGTACTGGGGTCAGGAGACACTTCTTTCGGTGGCGTGGGTGGGAAGCCGAAAAGGTGGGAGCCAGAGTGGGCTGCTGTGGGAGTGAGGGAGGCCACTGAGCTCCCGCTGCCTCCCCCGCTCCCACCCCCAGCCCCTGGGTACACAGAGAGTGGGCCTCCAGGGCCTCCAGCAGCTGAGGGGTGCAGTGGCGTCTTGGAGAAGGGGCTCACGGTCCACGGGTTGTGGTGGTGGGCCGCAGCGGCAGAGAGGGCTGCTTTGCCCCCGTCCAGCCAGGGCAAACCCGGGCTGTGCAACAAGTGTGGGCGGCACATCTGGCCTCCAGTCAGGCGGGCTGCGGGCAGAGAGAGAGAGGGTCAGGGTGGGCAGAAAGATCAGGGTAGGCAGAGATAGGGACGCCCCTGACAGACATGAGATCACGACTCCCAGAACCAGCAGTCATCGCCTCCCAAAAAAAACCAGAAACACAACTCCCACCGATAATAATCAGGAATGTCAGTCCGAGCTGAAGGACAAGTGGCATAGAAGGAACCCCACCGGACGGGCCCTACAGGGAACCCTCACGGGCCAGCTGGAAGTGGGCAGAAACCCTGTGGGTCCCAGACCCTCCCCAATCGGCCGCTGCCCCCACCTCTCCCGCCCCGATTTTTCAGCAGCTCGATTCCTGCGGATCCCACATCCGGGAAGCAAGTAGCCGGGCCCTCCTCCCCTCCCTAGCCTGGCGCGCGGCGCCTGGGTTCCCATCACCACCGGCCCAGCGCTCACCGTGCGCGGGGCTGTAGGAGACGCGCGCCCGCGCGTGAGCCGGGTTGGCGTAGTAGGGGTTGCCCTGCGAGTCCAGGTGATTGAAGAAGACGTCCACCTCGTCTGGAGGCAGCAGCTGCGCGGGTTCCATGTAGTTGTGCGCCAGGCCCGGGTGGTGCGAGTCGGGGTGCTGCGCATTCAGCACGGCCGGGTGCGCCATCCAGCGCGGCTGCTCCGGCGCCACCTCCATGGCCGGCAGCGGCGGCTCGGGGTCTGGGTGGAGGCGGCAACGGCCCTGTGCGAGGAAGGGGGCGTGAGGCGTGCCGCCAGCGTCTGACACCCCCAAAGTCCCACCACGAGGTGTCCCGCGCGCCGCGGAGCCCCAGCCCAGCTCCGATGAGAAAGAGCACCAGTCCCGGGTGGGAGGAAAGCCCAAGGCTCAAAACGAAAGGAAGGCGGGGGAGGGGGTTCAGCCACGCACACTCACGTGGTGACCCGCGGATGCAGAATCACACACCCGTGCACATGGGGTCACACCCGGGGACGGGTCCCGACACCAGTGACCCCAACAAACGCACAGAGCAGCACTTCAGTCGGACACTCACACTGAGCCCCCCCCCCCCCCCCCGCCCGGTAGACAAACACCTCAACACAGACTCAAAAGTTGCAGACAGGCACCCGGGCACCCAGTGGGGCACTTGATCCCAGCAACACCCACACACCCACGCTTGGCGCCAGATACTGACCTCAGTCCCCAAAACATGCACACGCAGCCCCCTGAGTGCAGTCCTAAGCGGCACAATCAGGACCGCTCAACAAGGCACACCAAAGCAGCAGCCCGCAGCCTGGTCACCCCGCCCTAAGTCCCCCTAGAGTCCCCTCAAAGCTAGGAGCGCCCCAGGCCCCCAGCCGGCTCTCGAACCCCAAACTTACACACGCAGCCGTGGGGAGGGTAGGGACTCGGCCTCAGAGTGAAGGAGCTCCGGCGGGAGCCCCGGGGGCGACGGGCCCAGGGACAGCACGTCCAGAGGCTGGCGGGGCTTACAGGGTAGGAGCAGGGGGTAGCTTGCGCCTCGGCCTCGGGCCCTCCCGGCTCCGGCCCCTCGGCATCCTCCGGCCGCCCTGGCGCCAGCTGCCGACTCCTGCACAGACATGAAGCGGGGGCCGCGCACGCCTAAGAAGCCCACGCCAGCCAATCAGCGCCGCGCGCCTCCCAGCCTCCGCCTCCCATTGGCTGCGCCCGCAATTCCCGAACCGCTGGACTCCTGGACTGACCCGCAGGCCAGCCCCCCCTCCGCCGGCGGATCCCCTCCCTGCGCGCTCCTGGAGGCCCCTGCTGCCAACGCGCCTCACCACTAAGGGACCCTCACCCCAAGGCCCGATCCCTGCAGCCCCTCTTGCGAACACTCCGAGATCCCTCGACGCTCTGGGCGTAACTAGCAGTAACTAACCAACTGCCCCCTCCCCAGGAGCCCGGGCCGCGCACCCTCTGGATTGCCTCTCCCCGAGACCCTAACCCCGCCACGCTCCTTCACCGCTGAACGTGGTCAGTCCGAGCGCAGTTACCTACCCAGACCGTTCCCTCCCCTAGCTCGGGCGGTGTCTGAGTGGACTGGGGGTTGGGAGGGCTCGGAGTACAGCAGCGGAACAGCGGGAGCCGGGAGGGGCAGAGAGGGGCAGGAACTACAGGGCTCTAGAGGGCACCTGGGCCTCGGACACGCGGCCGCTCAGGGCTGTGCTTGACCCAGTGGAGGTGGCCGGGCCGGTGGCTTCAGAGAGGGGGAGGGGGCATCCCCTCCCCAGGCGTGGCCTTCGCAGGCCAACGGGCCCAATTGCCTGGGGCGAGGCCATGGAGACCCGGACTGGCGCCGGCGCCAGCTGGAGGGAGACGCCCCCGGGCAGGAGGTGGCATTTTTTCCTCCGGGGGTCCCCGAGGTGTCCTCTGGTGAGGGGGAAGAGGTGGTCTGAGGTCTCAGTCTTCTAAGTCACCTGAAACTGCTTCCCACTCACTTCCAGCCCGGAGATCGGCTCTATGAGTCGAGTGGGCCGGGCGCACAAGTCTTGCTCCCTCCCAATGTACAGACTGGGGAGACGAAGGCTCGAAGGGGGCCCCGGACCGAGGAGGGGTTCCAGGACAAAGGCATTTGGGGGGACCTAGACAGGTGCAGAGTACTGAAGGGACTCAACAGCGTCCTCCAGCCCTCTTCCCTGTTGGTCCCGAGGCTCCCGGGGTAGATGTCCAGAGGGCCCCTGGGTGGGTCGGGGGCAGGAGGAGGGCTAGGGTCCCGGCCACCCCCGGGAGAGTGGGGGAGGGGCGGCGGGATTGACAGTCGGTAATTGGGTAACTGGAGGCGGCTTCTCCGGCCGGGCGGCCCCGCCACCGCGACGCCGAGCCCCTGACGTCACCCGATTCGCCAGGAAATGAACTTTTTAATAATCCGAGGAGGGAGGAAAGCCCTCGGTCCCCTCAGCTCCGGGGGCGCCCGGCTGGGCCCAGCTCCGCGGGCGCGCCCCCGTCACCCCCTCCCAGGCCAGCTCAGGGCAGCGCCAAGGGGGTGCGGGCTCAGGCTGAGGCCTCCTCCTGCCTAGGCGTCTGGCGTCCGTTTGTCTGTCCAAGGCCCCAGCGCAGGTAAAGCGCGGGGCTGGGGGGCGCAGAGCTCCATTGGGCTGGGAACCAGCGCGTCTCGTGCCCTTGGGGAACCCGCCTGCCCGAGCCGCCTGCTGAGCCTCCCGC